CCCCTCTTACTTATTCTACACATAGCTGGGATGATAGGAATCTGCCATCATGCCCAACTTATTACTAAAGATGAGGCTCTCAATGACTCTCGGCCTGGGTTCCATCTTTCTGAACCCTGCCCTCCTGAGCAACTAAGATCCCAGCTGTGAGCCATTGCACATTTTTCCCACTCCCTTGTTCTGTGACCTTTTTACATGCATAGCAATGATAGAAGACGAGGTGAGCAAGGAACATGGCATAGGCAAAGAGCTTCAATTTTAGGCTAGTGTCACCCACGATTAGCCTTGACATTTGTATGAAACAAACAGGGGGAAAATTCTAAGCTCCTGCTTTATGTCGTTCCTTAAGATGTGCAAAGGAATACAGTACTTCACATCTACCCTATAACAATCCAACCAAGGTCACCCAGGCAAAGGTCATCCCAGCCAGAGTCATCACCACTGACCCTTGTCGGCCCATCCAATGCTGTGAGGAATGCACCATGTATGCAGATGTGGACACCCTGCCACCTTGCTTTTGTAACCCTAACGAGGGACTCTGAGAATGGTGGGCACAAAAACTTCCATGAGCACCATTTCTTTCTAGGTACAATGTTTTATTATTCAACTCCACTTCTATAGTGCTTATATGATTATATACAAGTTAATGTGGCGTTTTTGTGTAGTTTTGGAAATGTATAATAATGAAAATAATCATCTTTGCTTTAGTGGTTGGTAAAGAAGTCCTGTTTACATTTTTTTCTTATCCACGTTGGGACTCGAGGCAATTAATTTGTAGTATAATTGTATTGCAAGATAAACAGGAGAGTTAAAAACAGAGCATAAAGACAGGACATGTGAACAGTCTAACAGGAAGGGATACTACTGTGCCAAATGAAGCATTTGAAAACTAAGTTGAGACTGAAGTTTCCTAGCAGCCTAGCAAAAAAGAAACAGTATCTGAATGAGACTTGCTTTTCCTAGTGCTAAATGTTGCTTAGATTTTTTTTAGAGGGAGTCTTATCTTTGAAACTAAACAATGGAATGTTTTCCATTTAGGTTGCGCAAAGCAATCTTCAAACTTTGGCACACACTAGTAACTGAGGGCAGACTACCCATTCACATCCTGGGGTGTTCACTTGCCTCTGAGGTCGCAAGGTTCCGTAGACATATCTTCTCCTGTGGGCAACAGCAGCCTTTTATCACGGCAGTGGTGAGGGCCAAAACAATGTCCTTAGCTGTGTAGAACCTACAGGTAAAGATGAAAATCAGAGCCGAGGAAAAGGGGCTGCGGAAGAGGCAGAGATGGATTCTGAGTTGAGGAAGGGACTCCTGAGCTTTATGCTGTCAAGGAATCAGACTGCTTTGCTACCAGAGATGCAACTCCACAGGCTTGGGGTGTTTGCAGGAACCTTATCTAGGGCACCTGACAAAATGACACATGTGGGTGACAAGTCTCTGTGGGTGTGAATTACTAAGAATTCAGAGGGAAGGGCAGCCCCTGTTCACAGTGAGTGATACCTCACCAAGTTCAGCTCTCCAGTTCTAATCCCACCTGTGGTCCTCCCACGTTTGGACGTCTAGGCTTCATTCATGTCAACACGAGATTGCCAATGAGGGGAAAAAAGGAAGGGAAGAAGGAAGGCTGCCTCCCCTCTAAATTGCCCGAGACTTGATTTCTTTGCAGTGCTCAGCATGTATCCTACAGTTAGGGGTGCTGAGATGTGTCCCAAGAAAATATCTGCAAGGACTGTGAAGATGGTGCGAGAGCCCAGTAGGCCCTTGCCAAGTGAGCATCGGAGCACTTATGTGCTCTGAATTTAGATTCCCCTCTGACAGAGGCTGAACAACTGCATCCCCACTGGGACTCAGAAATGTCTTGGCAAATACAGTAGGTAGGAGAACCACAATCAAAGGTTTTGTGATTAATGAGCCAAGTTAAAACACCTTCACCAATTAGCATACACTGAGTATAAATAAGAAGTATACTCTAACTACAGGCAAATACTCCTGAATTCAGATGAAAGGGTTAGCAAACCTTGTACCAAATTCACAAAATTCAGGTTGAAGGTATTAAACCCACATAACCAGACAAAACCAGAATGGATTCTCTCAAACGTAAGTGTCAGGTCATCAAACTGCGCTTGAATGGTCCAGTGGACAGCAAAATAAAACTTTAAAAAACAAGAGATAAACAACCAAACAGAAAAATCTTCAGTTTACCTCAGTTGTAATGATAAGGAAATCCTGTTTGAACCATTCTGTAAGGAAAGTAGATGACCAATCAGTTTTATTCCTTTCTTCAGCTCTTTTCTGTCTACAGAGCTGGCCTCCTCTGCTGAATTCATCAAGAGCTCCTCAATTGATAAAATACTAATAAAAGTCAATTCAACCTTTGAACTAAATTTGCTGTGCTTCTGTTAACAGCAGAGTCAGTGCCCAGGACACCTAATGGGGTTTCTGTTAGGCATTAGTCACTCCAGAGATAAGGCATAGTTCCTACCTTCAAGCGCTAAGGCATAGTTCCTACCTTCAAGCGCTAAACCTTGAAAAAAATAAAGCCTCAAAGCAGAATCTTTCTGCCCCTCAATCATGCAGTCAAGTGGCTCCTGGCAGGGTCAGTTCTGTGGAAAGAAGGCCCTTAAGGCTGTCTCCCTCTGTGTTCAATCTATGTTCTGTTTGCAAGTTTAAACACTCTTAGTAACATGGACAGCAGACAAAATCCAATTTCGTTCATCTGAGAATGAATTATTTCCTTAACCATCTACTGGTCCTGCAAGAGAAGGCACACATAACAAGCCTGTGATTCCTCTGCTTGACCCAAGTATTAGTTCAGGGGAAAAATAATGGCTAGAAGCCCTCAAACTCAACAATATTCAGCCTTCAGCAGAGGCACAATCAAAAGACATGGGGACAGAATGGAAGGGGTAGTTATGATGGAAGAGAACAGGTGGAAACAGGGAGGCTTCTAGAGGGAGATGTTTGAGTGCCGTCTATTAAGGAAAGGGGAAGCTTGGGTAGTTCAAGTATGGCCAAAGGTGAAGGCCTCTGGGAAGTCTGAGAAATGAGGCCAGGTAGAGATCACTACCCAGCATTTCCACGTTCTTATCACTTTCAAAGAAAGAATTCAGAGAGGAGATAAAGAATAGGATGAAAGTCTTAATACAGACCACAAGCACATATTGAAGACAAATCCACAGACCAAAACAACACCAACTGAACTACAAGTTTTGAACAATAATGTTGGCTGATAACCAGTGTGTCACTGCCCTGGGGCGGGGCATTGCTAGGGAGGTTACAGGTGTATATGGTAGCAAGGGTTTTGTAGGAATTTTCAGCACCTTGCCATCAACTTAAAGTCTCTATTAAAATCTTTAAAAAAAAGACAGTAAAAGTTTAAACAGCTTTTAGAAATATATTTGACACATATGTATGTATATATATATATATGATATATATATATATATATATATATATACACACATATATATTTGATATATACTGGTGGTTCATTCCTGTAATCCTAGCTACTCAGGAGGCTGAGATCTGAGTATCACGGTTCAAAGCCAGTCCGGGCAGGAAAGGCCGTGAAACTCTTATCTCTAATAAGCCACCAGAAAGTGCCACTGTGGCTCAAGTGGTAGAGCACTAGCCTTGAGCTGAAGAGCTGAGGGACAGTGCCCAGGCCCAGAGTTCAAGTCCCACATCCAACAAAAAAATAAATGAAATAAATATATTTGACCTCAAAGATTTATGTGATAAATCTTCAAGTTTGAAAAATTGTGAATGAGCTTCATTACAGAAATATAAATAGAAAAGTATCTTTTTCTGATTTCACAGAAATCCATTTCCCCATTGCCCAAAAATAGTCTGTAAATCATAGAGAAATATATTGACTGTCAGTGACCTGACATAGCTCTCTAGGTACCATACTTTAATTTTACAAGTTTACTGTCCACATAGGGAACCAAACTAAATCAGTCATTTAAAATAGGGCCATTTGGGGATACTTTTTTAGCCATACTGAGTTACTTCAGTAAAAGTACCTCTGTACTAAGCTGGCTTTGCTCCAAATTAAAAACCTACAGAATACATAGGGAAATCATAAATTTACCAAATTCAGTGTTAGCCACTATTACTTTGTTGTTGCTGTTTTGAGATAGTGTCTAAGTATGTAGCCAAGGCTGGCCTTGTGCTCCTCCTGCTTCGCCTAGAGTGTTTCAATTACAGTTGTGGACAACGAGACCTGGCTCCAACCATAACGTTTGTAAATGACTGTGATCTTCCTTTTCAATTACAATAATTCAACAAACATATACAGAGAACTCAGAACTGGCCTCCAAATTCACTGCATCTTAATTCATGGTCCTGGCTCTGAATAATTATTTGGTTCATGACTCAATGAATAGACTACAACTACTAGAAGCTGCAAGACTATAAACTCCTAGGTTCAGCATTTCATTTCAATGATAAGAAATTGCCATCTTATAGGTATAAATGTTATAACTGTCCCATTATTTGGTCTACTTCAGCCCGGTGCCAGTGGCTCATGCCTGTAATCCTAGCTGCCCGGTGCCAGTGGCTCATGCCTGTAATCCTAGCTACTCAGGAGGCTGAGATCTAAGGATTGCAGTTCAAAGCCAGCTCAGGCAGGAAGTCTGTGAGACTCTTATCTCCACCAGAAAACTGGAAGTGGCACTCTGGCTCAAGTAATAGAATGCTTGCCTTGAGCTGAAGAGCTGAGGGACAGCACCCAGGCCTAGAGTTCAAGCCCCACAACTGACAAAAAATGGTCCACTGCAAAGACTAGCAAAAGTATGCAATCTTCAAATGACTGTAATATGTTCCATGTATTATGGTTCTTTGTAGTATGATAAAAATAAGCAAGATATAAATTAGCCATCTCAAAGTGAAAAAATTGTCAAAACAAAATGAGTATGAAGTATCACTTTTCAAAAAATGGAATTTTTTAAGCAAAGATTATTTGAAAATAAGAATTCTATTTATTTAAGACAGGTAAATTCCAGAGTGGATGTGTTTATTTTGAGATGCAAATGCATCACCCTTCAACACATAAACAATAGTTATAAATTCTGAAAACAGAGACTTGCAATCTCCTTGATTCATACACTGTAATCCTTCAATTCAGATTCTCGGAATGTAACACATTAAACATGCCAGAAAAAGAATTTGAGGATAAAAACCTGTATGACTAAGAAAGGAGAGAATTCCTTACATAGCCAGAGTTTACTGAGATCAAACAGATGACTGCACAAAGCACCAATCCCAAAAGAGCAGTACTCAAAATGAACAGACAGGTTCCTTCTACAACTATGCAATGAAACAAACAGTCCTAACACCAAACTGGTATCATACGTGCCAAACACTGTATTTCATTCATTATCTCAGAAAAACGGTACAAAATGAAAATTGGTGACCTAAATTAAAAGTTCCAAGTATCCAATTTTCCAAGAACAATTAGAAAAAGAAAATCAAACATTCTAAGCATTATTTTGCATAGTTCTAAGACTATCAAATAAGGTGTTTCTATAAATAATAAAAACTTCACTTCAAACATGTATATAATATACAATACAAACCAAGGAATTGCATCAGAAATCCTTAAACATTTTAAACAGTTAAGCAACACAAGTATATAAGTTTTTTAAGAGTGAAAATATCACAAACAACGTAACTTATGAATGTATCATGTTAACTCTTAGCATACAGTACTAGATTTGTAATAAGCAGGGCAGTGAAATGAACACTGAGGTCACTTTATGTTACGACAATGATCCTTCAAAGGATATTAAATACTTGCTTTTCATAAACATTTTAGAGGTTTGGCTTTGTAATAAATATGTAATAAATATCTGAGCTGCACTGCACATGTTGAGAGCTTATCTTTCCCCATTGGAAAGTCTTTCTCCAGAGTCACAGTGTTTTAGAGGCAGCCCAGTAGGAAGGAAGTTGGGATTTTGTAGCAAGTCCGTTAACAATGCAATCTTATCATCCACATGCTCCTGAAGCTTATATATTCGTTGATCAATATAGTCCATAAGCCTCTTCTCCATCAACTCCATATTTTTAGAAAGAATCTTTTCCAAGTAGGAACAAATAGGTTGTTCTTCAATTCTAAAGATAAAATTTAAAATACATCAATTTCCTAATAGGTAAACAAACGAAGCTATGCAACAAGAGCTATTATACATTGCTGAAATTTGTCTCCACAACTGAACTGGCATGATGCATTTCTAGATTCTAAAATACATACATCAGGGGAGACCACAGTCCTTTAATTCTCTTTCTAATTTCTTTAATTCTCTTTACTTTGCACACTACTGAAGCAGGAATATAAGCATGAAGGTGAATCAATGAAGTACAAGCCTTCAGGAAGCATCTTTTTACTTTGAGCTCAAAATAAAAACTGACTTTGCACATGTTTTGAAGTGATCATGTATATTTTCATAAAAGAAACTGATGAGGGACTGAGAAGGTGGCTCAGTAGAAGAGTGCTTGCCTTGCATACATGAGGCCCTGAGTTCGATTTCTCAGCGCCACATAAGCAGAAAAAGCCCGAAGTGGCGCTGTGGCTCAAGTGGAAGAGCACTAGCCTTGAGCTGAAGAGCTGAGGGACAGCGCCCAGGCCCAGAGTTCAGGCCCCACAACCGACAAAAAAAAAAAAAAGAAAGAAAGAAACTGATGAAGTGTTTGACTGGCTGTGCCATTTTACATTCCCATAAGCTAACACCTGAGAAACCCATTTCTCCACATCTCTGTCAGTATTTGATGTTGCTATTGTTTTCTTACATTTTAGCCACTCAATAAGCAGTGATAAGGTGTCTATGTGTGTGTGTGTGTATTTTTTATTTTATTTTTTCCCAGTCGTGGGGCTTGAACTCTGGGCCTGGGCACTGTCCCTCAGCTCTTCAGCCCAAGGCGAGCACAGTACCACTTGAGTTACAGCGTCACTTCCGGTTTTCTGGTAGTTAATTGGAAATGAGTGTCATGCACTTTCCTGCCCGGGCTGGCTTTGAATCCCAATACTCAGATCTCAGCCTCCTGGGTAGCCAGGATTACAGGCATGAACCACTGGCACCTGGCTGATAGGGTATATTTTATTGTGCATTTCCCAAATCATCTTTTATGTGCTTATCCTCTTTGGTGATATGATTCTCTATTCTGCACATGTTCTACTTAAATAAGGTTACTTTATTTTTTATTCTTATTTTTTGAGTCCGGTCGTGAGGCCTGAACTCTGGGCCTGGGCGCTGTCCCTCAGCTCTTCAGCTCAAGGCTAGCACTCTACCACTTGAGCCACAGCCCCACTTCCGGCTTTTTTCTTTTTGCTTATGTGGTGCTGAGTCGTCGAACCCAGGGCCTCATGCATGCAAGGCAAGCACTCTACCACTGAGCCACCTTCCCAGCCCAATAAGGTTACTTTTAATGTAGAACATTATAAATTCTCTTTCACAGGCAAAAGTTTTAAATGGTGGTAAGGTGTATGCACCATTTTTCATCTTATGGATCCTATCTAAGATAACTTTCTTAGGTCCATAAGACTTTTTCCCTCATGTTAGAATGTTTCAGTTTTATAACTTATGTTTTTTTTTTTTTCCCTCTGATCCATATTGTGTTCATTTTCATTTAAAGTATGAAGGTGATGGCTCACTTTTTGCCTGTGGGTGTCAAACTGCTGCAGCACACAATACAGAATTGATCCTCCACTGAATTTTTGGTAGCTTTGTCAAGAACTACTTAGTGTAGTGAGTAGGACTATTTCTGAGTTTTCTATTTTATTCACCAATATTAGGCTTGACTACTATAGCTACATGATGTCTTGAAATCTTTTTTTAGAATCATCTCATCAATATTTACAAAAACTCTTGCAAAACTTTTCAGAACTGCATCACACATGTGTTCCAATTATGGAGAATTGCTGTTTTTACTAAGCTGCGTCTTTAAGTGAACATGGTATCTCCATCATCTTAGATCTTCTTTGACTTTGCTCATCAGTACTTTACAACTTTCAGTTCATTGATCCTCTACGTGGTGTTTTGTTAGATTTATACATATAACCATCTTATGGACCTATGTTTTACATGTATCCACGAGTGTTTTTATGTATTTCAAGTTATTTGGAGTAAAATTGTGGGTAAAAGGGTGGTAGTAGTTTTGTAAAATGAATTGGGGAGTCTAGCCTCCTTCATTTCTTGGAGTGTGTAAAACTGTTTATCAAATGCTTGGCATCATTTTTTGGTGGGACATTTGGACCAAGATGTTTCTTTTTTATAAGCTCTCTGTGTTAGAACTAGATTTTATCAGTGCAAATGCTTGAAAACAATCAACTTTAGGCAGGCTTATTTGGCTCATGCCTATAGAGGTGTCCGTCCATCCATGACCAGCTTGCCCCACGGCTGTGGGTCTGGAGTGAGAGCTCATCATGGCAGCAAGAATGGGCAGCACATCAAAACCGTTCGCCTCAGGGCAACCAGGGAGCACAAGGGAAGACAGAGAGGGGCCAGGGAAAGATGTCCTTCAAAGCCCGTGCACACCTGTGACCTATTCCATCAAAGCAGGCCTCACTTCTACCCACTACAAATAATGCCATCAAATTACGACTTTGCCAGTGCATTGATCCATTGATTAGATCAGAGCCACTGTGATCCAATCACTTTCAACTGTCTGGCTCTATGCTCCAGGCACCACGCCTTAGACACTTGCAGCTTCTCAGGGCACACTTCATAGTCAAACTGAATTAAAATTCAGTCTTTCCAGTGATAATAGGGTTACTCTATTATCTACTTCATGTTGTAACAGTTTGTAGTTTTTAAGAAATTAATCCATTTCCTCTAGGCTGTCAACTTTGTGAGCATAAAATTAACTATTTTCTTGTCTCTGGAATGGCCTTAGGATCTATGGTGGTATTCTCCCACATTCCTCAGACTGCTGTTGGCATCTTCACTCTGATTTGCCAGTCTTTTTAGGAGCTCAAAATTTTATTTGTAAAGAATAAGCTTCATTCTCCAATAATTTTCCTGTTTGCAATTAAACTGATTTCTATTTATTATTTCTTTTTGTTTGCTTTGGGATTATTTTCCCTGGTTTTTAAATAACACATTTAACTTTTGTTTTGTTTTTTGGGTCCGGTCATGGGGCCTGAACTCTGGGCCTGGGCACTGTCCCTCAGCTCTTCAGCTCAGCGCTAGCGCTCTACCACTTGAGCCACAGCGCCACTTCCGGCTTTTTTTTTTTTTTTTGCTTTGTGGTGCTGAGGAATCGAACCCAAGGCCTCATGCATGCAAGGCAAGCGCTCTACCACTGAGCCACCTTCCCAGCCCTTTGTTTTTTTGAGAAAGGGTCTCATCATTTAGTCCAGGCTGACCCTAAAATTGCCTTGAACTCACAATTTTCCTGCCTCAGCCTTCCAGGTGCTGGTATTACACAGGTGTAATACCTGGCTTTAAAGTCAATTTCTTTGATGGTTGTAGGATTACTCTGATGATCAATTTCTTTTTCTTTTGGTTAGTTAGGGGCTTGAACTCAGGGCCTGAGCACTGTTGCACTGTCCCTGAGCTCTTTTTGCTCAGGGCTATCACTCTACCACTACTGAGTCACAGAGCCATTTCTAGTTTTCTGGTGGCTTACTGGAGAAAAGAACCTCATGGACTTTCTTACCTAGGCTAGCCTTCAAGTGCGATACCCAGATCTCAGCTTCCTGAGATTGTAGGCATGAGCCACCAGCGCCAGCTTATGAATTTCATTTCTATTGGTAGTTATGGTTTTATGCTAATGCTGTTCGAATTCCCCTTATTACTGTAAGCAAACAGTACTATACACATCCTTATCAGTAGTTCTTGAATCCCACAAATATTATGTTGTATTCTTACTCATTTTGATATAACTTCTGGTGAGACCTCTTGACACAGATTTAAGTTTGTTGTTTAATCTTCGTTTGGTAAAATCTTTTATTGAATGCTACTATTGTGTTATGATTTCTTGTTTCTCTGTATGTAGAAAAAATACTCTCACTTCAATCTTAAATTTTGTTAGGTTTGCTTTAGTATTCAAGATGTGATCTATCTGTGAATCTTTCAAAGACACACACAAAAAATGTACATCTGCTGTTGTTGCAGAATCTTCTATAAATGTCAAATTCAATCCTGTTATTGGCTGATGGTACTTAGACCTAAACTAATGTGACTACCTAATTTTCCGATAAAAAGTCTAAACTAAGAGATTATTCAATCTATTATCTATCAGTATATTATTGTACTATTTAGTATGGCAAAAAGATTAAGCCAAATCATGTCCAGAGTCCTGAATTTGTCTACAACAATATTTTGACACATTATTATCTGTGAAAAAGGACTAGAAATAGTCTTAGTATTAGCAAATTCATAATTAAATACATGCGGCAAAGATGAGCAATTAAAAAGCCCTGGGGATAAGAGCTTATGTACTATAAATAATAACCACTCTACTAGTTTTTGATTACTCCAGAAATAACCTAAATCAAACCTCATTTGCAAAGAAAATCTGTTGCAAATTATACTTACTATAATCAGAATTAGTACAAACAAAAAAAACCCTCTGTACATACCCTTTACAATAAAATAAATTAAAAGAAGTAAAAACAAGGCAAACATTATGATTCCTATGGTTCTTCTTCTATTATGCAAGTTTCTACCTCAATCCTTAGCTGAAGCTTGTACTCCTCCCCCAATAGACATCTGATAAAGCATGCAACACCTCCTGTCAAAGCAGTCAGTTCCACTCTATAGAGTAGACAGATCCTTAGTTAATGCTGAGACAAATCTGTTTCCTTTCAACTGCTTTCCTACCAAATCTAAGCTCCATTTGTCTGGAAATAAAATACTTACGCAACACCAACAATGCCTTCATGGGGCTTGGCGGTGTGTTCCTGCCGTTTGGTGTTCTGTCCCATGCGGAGATGGTTGACTTGACTGCATATATTCTGGAGAAAGGGTAGCAACTCAGAGTTGGGGACATTTGAGTTGTCATTTGCTTTCTTTGGTAAGAAAGACATTGCATTTTTAAGCTCCTTTTCAAGAAGGGAATGATGTTGTGGCACAATTTTACACTGGTTTTTGGTGTTTTCTTCAACAGGTGGGTGTGTACTTTTATCAATGAAAGCCCTTAAGTTCTCAGTCATGTTTGCAGATGTCAATCCAGTTCTAAAGGGAAACGGTGTAGAGGATGACTTATTGGAGGCTCCTACGGTAGATGATGATTGTAGGGCAATCGCATGCTTGTATCCAGCAGTTCCCAAAACAGACTGAAGCTGCTCTGCAAGGGGAATACACTTCTAAACAAGATAGAAAAGTAAATGGTAAGAATAATAGCTCATATTTGGAGTACTTAGAAGGGGTGTGGCACTGCACATTGCTTCACTGAATTCTCAAAACATTGTCATGAAGAAGACAGTACTATTACACAGTATTAAGCAGAGTGGACCAAGGTGAAAGGTACCTGGCCAACGCAACCAGCTAAGAAGTGTCAGGAACAGGACATAAACCCAAACATAAACCCAAACTCTCTGGTCATCATTTCACTGCAGTTCTTCCTCAGAAAATGTATTAAAATAAACACTAGCATGCATAATAAAATGCATTGGCATATTTTAATATTTTCACTACAAAGGCTGTCTTAGTTTATGGCAATAAAATTAAAGACTATTCTCAATTTAGTAACAGTAGCCGATCATTTTCTTAGCATTCAATATCATTTCCAATGTTCAATGTATGGGAAGATATTTTTATCTGATTCTTTTTTTCCCTTATGTGCCAGTACTAGGGCTTCATGATCTTCCTTAACTTTTCACTCAACGTTAGCATTCTACCACTTGAGCCACACCTTCACTTGTTGTTGTTGGGTTTTTTTTTTTGCTTTTTGCTGGTTTACTGGAGATAAAGTATTCTTGGATTTGTCTGCCTAGGCTGGCTCTGAACTGTGATCCGCAGATCTTAGCCTCCTGAGTAGCTAGGGTTACAGCTGTGAATCACTGGCACTCAGCCTGATCATATATTAATGATAAATTTTTTAAAGAAGCTAAATTACACTATTTAAAGCTGGATGTTCTATAAGTACATCTGTGACACTTTCACTAAGATGAAGGTAACATGTGGCTGATGGCTTTAAAAGTATACAGAATAATAAACTGTACTCTGGGTATACACCTTAACTGCTTATGCACTAAAGAAAAATGACCTCCAGTCTAACTGTTGAAGGACGTGGCTTTAGCTACAAAACCATGTCTGCTGTTCAACAGCTTGAGAGGTAACTGGAAAAGTCTTTAGCAAGATTAGCTGGAGAAACTCAGTTTATATATCCATCTAGACATTCTGAAACTCATCACTAAACCAAGCCAGATCAACATTCACTTATTCAACAAACATTTACCAGAAATCTCTGTGCTAGGCTCCATTTCAGACTATGAATATAGCAATGAACAAATCAAATTTAAAAACTTAACCTCTTGAAGTTTACATACTAGGGGAGCAGGGAGAAACTATGGAGGAAGAGGAAGGAAGGGAGGGAAGAAGTATGGATCATGGGATGGAGATGGTGATAAATGAATCCCAGGAAAGAGAAATTTTGTGGGGAAAGGGATCCTTTTAGTTCTGATTCAGTTGGATGCTGGTGGCTCATGCCTACAATCATAACTACTCAAGAAGCTGAAATCTGAGGATCACAGTTTGAAGCCAGCCAGGGAAGGAAAGCCTGTGAGACTCTTTACTACCAAAAGAGATGTGGTTCAATGGTAGAATGCTAGCCTTGAACAAAATGCTCAGACAGAGCTAAGGCCCTGAGATCAAGTCCTAGGACCAGCACCAAAAACAAAAAAGCAAAAACAAAAACTCCCATTCAACTTCTTTTATAGAACTGCATTTTGGGAAAAAAAAAAAGTCTTTATAAAGAAATGATAAACTTGTCAACTTATCTTATTCTATCCAATGCAAGTTTTGAGTAACCTTAAAAATATTCCTGGAATATGAATTATATATAATTATATTTGACACCTCACCTTTGACTTAAAAAAGCTTTACAGTCATAATGGAAAAAAATCTAATTTCTCTATAATCCCTCAAAAAATTGTATAGTAGGGGCTGGGAAGGTGGCTCTGTGGTAGAGTGCTGTCTTACATGCATGAGGCTCTGGGTTCGATTCCTCAGCACCACATAAACAGAAAAGGCTGGAGGTGGCGCTGTGGCTCAAGTGGTAGAGTGCTAGCCTTGAGCTGAAGAGCTCAGGGACACCTCCCAGGCCTAGAATTTAAGCTCCATGACAAAATAACAATAATAATAATATATATTATATAGTAGAAACCTGATAAATGTATGCTAACAATAATGACACTGTGGAGTGAATGCCATATGGTGATATTAAGTTGGCAGAAAATTGAAATAGAAAAATATTCATGTTAAGGTATTTCTATGGAAAGTATTCTTTCCTGACAGACATATAACATTTTAATTATTTATAAGAAATTCACTGGATCTGGGAAGGTGGCTCAGTGGTAGTGTGCTTGCCTTACATGCATGAGGCCCTGGGTTTGATTCCTCAGCACCATATAAGCAGAAAAAGCTGGAAGTGGCACTGTGGCTCAAGTGGTAGAGCACTAGCCTTGAGCTGAAGAGCTGAGGGACAGTGCCCAGGCCCAGAGTTCAAGCCCAAGACTGACAAAAAAAAAAAAAAAAAAATTCACCAAAAACAAAACAAACAAGAACACAAAATGCAGTCATGGAAAATGTATAGAGTGCTTCAGAAAATAAGACACAACACGCTCAGTTCTGAGTTGCCGAAGCCCCGGCTGCAGTGTGCACAGTGGGAAGCTGAGCGCCGGCTGCAGGAGAGAGGCCCTGTGCTGCTACAGCCACACAGCAAGCCAGGATACACGCCTGGTCACTCTGGGGAGCAGAGTTCCAATGGGAAAAACACTTGTATTATCATTTACACAATAACACAATAAAACTGTAATACAACTCAAAAGTTTACCATCAAATTTCAGTCCCTTCCAAAGTCAAGGTGTTAAGAGTAGAAGTCTGTGAACTAGTTATATTTAATTAATTTATCTCCTCTAATTGTTTCCAAAGCCCTTCAATAGTTTTTCCTTTTTGAAATCTTCTACTAACAGCTATTTTCAAACTATAATTTGCATGAGACTCACCAAGGCATAACTATTTAAAACTATCAATTTCTGAAAGCTAGCTTCTGAACAGCGCCAAGAGAAGCAGCCCATCTACAGCTGGCTCATGTGGCTGAGAAGTCAAGGATGGAATGTAGCTGAGCAGAAGGACCACGGGAGAAATGACTGAGGTATCCAGGTGAAACAGCAGCAGGAAGGAGACTCTTCTGCCTTCTGGCTTCTCTCCACTCTGCCTACTCCAGCACTAGTGCTAATACCTGCAAACCCTATTGTGCTTTTAAGTTCTCTATTTGAATTATTTATGTTATATTTCCACATTAATCCTGTGATCTGTATATTTAAAATTCACAAGATGCATTTTAACGTGAAAATTCATATTAAAAATAAATTGAACCTTCCCAAACAGACAGAACTAAAAAGTGACAGGACAGGAACTTCAGAATCCTTTTTGTCATCAAAGCCTTTCTCTTGCTACTTAATCATACATTGTCTTTGGCTTTTCTGGATCCCTACTCCTCTCCCCACATTCTACCAAACATAGCTACTTTCCAAAGGTCTTTCTTCTTAGTTTCTGTCTCTCCTTCTGAAACATTTCCACTGTGAGCCCATCTCTCATACCTGGCAGCCACTTCTAGAGTTTCACTCTACCTCCCCAATCCTATACTCCCAGATGCAGTTAACTTCCTTCCAAGTAATGTCCTAGTCACAGTTCAAACTCAACATTCCCAAATTAAATTCCTTTTGTTTCCCCCAAGTGATTCTGCCCCCAAACTTCAATTTCACTGCGACTCTCTTTTTCTCCCACAATACTTTTTTTTAATTTTATTGTGAAAATACTGTACAGAGGGGTTACAATTACATGGGCAAGGTAATAAGTACATTTCTATTTTTTTTTTTTGGGGGGGGGGGGTCCGGTCGTGGGGCCTGGGCGCTGACCCTCAGCTCTTCAGCTCAAGGCTAATGCTCTACCATTTGAGCCACAGCGCCACTTCTGACTTTTTTCTTTTTGCTTATGTGGTGCTGAGGAATCGAACCCAGGGCCTCAGGCATGCAAGGCAAGCACTCTACCACTGAGCCACCTTCCCAGCCCAGTACATTTCTTATTAAGCATTGTTGCCTCCTCCTTTGTTTCCCCTTCCCATCCCTTCCCATCCCCCCCACAATACAGTTTTAAGTTAGCTGTCCAGTCCCCACAGCTCCACTGATACAGCATCTCACAACCCAGCATCGAGCTGCTGCGTCTAATCTTAGACCCCATCAACTCTCATCTGAGCCAGGAACAGCCAGGCAGCCCGTCTCCTTGCTGCGGTCTCACTTACCTTAGGTCACCCTAAAATGCCATAAAACAGGCCAACAACACTTACAGATTTAAAATAGCGTCCAAAGTTCTCCATGATCTCAGAGAATCTATTTTAAACTTTGCTAATCTATCTATCTACTCAAGGGAAAAAAAAAAAAAAGAACTCCTAGTCAATTCCTAGCTATATTATTTCTTCTAGTACAGAAGATTCCATCCATGACATATTAGAACAGTCACCCTTCCTGTGAATTTGCCCAACCCCATCTTTCTTCTTTAATGGCTTGGATAAAATGTCACTTATAAAATGCCTTTTTAAATCTACCCATCATTCCCAACTTATGTGATTTAAACTGTTTAATGCAGTATAGACAGGCTATAGACTGGCTGACCATCTCTGAGCCTTCAAACTAGTGCCCTGCTCACCGAGAAGGTGGTTAAAACTTGTGGACTTGTTGAATGAGTAAGTTAATAAACTCATTAAAAAAAAAAGTGAGGATCCAAGCTGGGCGCTGGTGGCTCATACCTGAAATCCTAGCCACTCAGGAGGTTGAGATCTGAGGATCATGGTTCAAAGCCAGCCTGGGCAGGAAACTCCATGCAACTCGCCAGCCTGGGCAGGAAACTCCGTGCAATTCTTATCTCCAATAAACCGCCAGAAAACCAGAAGTGGCGCTGTAGCTCAAGTGGTAGAGTTCTAGTCTTGAGCTAAAGAGCTGAGGAACAGCGAGTGCTCAGGCCCAGAGTTCAAACCCCACTACCGACCAAAAAGAAAAAGTGAGGATCTGCAGTCAAAAAGCATTCTGTTGGTGGGGAAGTCTGCAAAATGTGATTTTTGCAAAACTGAAATAAGATAATCACAAATTTTGTAAAATACACTGCTAAATACTAAAGAACATTTATTGAAACTTCAGTGCTATCTGGAAATGAATTCATTTCTGCTTACCTGCTGCTGAAACCTAACCATATTCATCAGTTGCTGAGCTCCAGGTGATAACTTTGATCCCATGGACTCCATTATGGTTTGGATATTGTCGAGGTCTATCCTTGATCCTAAAGTAGGAGTGCTTCGTGATGAATTTGAAGATACTGGTCTCATTTGTACCACAACTTTACTGAGGAACACACACTGCTTTTCACCAAAGGACAGTAACTGTTACAAAACAAGAAAGTTCCAGGAAACAATACTAAAATCAGTTATCACTTAAGATCACATTTTGGCATTACCAAAGCAAGAGTAGAGTATTCAAGAATCTAAAAATTAAAACCGAGCGTCAGTGGCTCACACCTGTAATCCTAGCTACTCAGGAGGCTGAGATCTCAGGATCTCGGTTCAAAGCCAGCCCAGGCAGGAAAGTCCGTGAGACTCTTATCTCAAATAAACAACTAGAAAACTACAAGTGGTGCTGTGGCTCAAGTGGTAGAGCGCTTGCCTTGAGCTAAAGAGCACAGGGACAGTGCCCAAGCCCAGAGTTCAAGCTCCACGACTGACCAAAAAAAAAAAAATCTAAAAATTAAACTTCAAGAACTGGAGGTATGGCTCAAGTGATAAGAGCACCAGCTTTGAGCAAAAAAGCCAAGCAACAGGGCAAGGCTGTGAGTTCAAGCCCAAGTACTGGCACAAAAAAAAAAAAAAATTAAATGAAAGACTTAAAATAAAAATTAACATCAAATGTATTTTAAGGTTTTCTTAAGAGTTGGAAAAAATTCCAATGCATCATGAGGCTTAAACCAACAAAATAAATAGCTTTCAAACTATAAGCCAGGTGCCAGTGTTTCATGCTTGTAATCTTAGCTACTCAGGAGGCTGAGATCTGAGGAGCATGATTCAAAGCCAGCCCGAGCAGTTAAGTCCCTGTGAGACTCATCTCCAATTAACCACTCAAAAACCAAAAATGGTGCTATGGCCTAAGTAGTATAGCGCTAACCTTGAGCCCAAAGAGGCTCAGGGACAGCACCCAGGCACTGAGTTCAAGCTCCACAACCGACAAAACAACAACAAAAAATATGACATAAAATTAAATAGGGAATTAAAGTTTTACTCATATAATTTAAGATGAGCCATATCTGTAGACTTTAACATACTCCAATCTTTTATAACATAATTGAAAATAATAATGCTGTCCACATTCCCATACGACATTTACTGAAACCCTAAACATAATCCAGTCTTTCGGATTTTGTTTGGGACTGTCAGATAAACTAATTTAGCTGGCTGATTTACATACAAAGAAGGTAAATTTAGGGGTGACTTACTAACTTGTTAAAGGAAACTCAGTGAATAAAAGTCAAGTTTGGAACAAGGCTCTTCTGTCTTCTATGACAGTAGTTTTTGTTTCTTTGATATTACTATTTTGTGTGTGTATGTTACAGGGTGAGGCTGGAACACAGGATATCAAGTGTACAGGTCAGTGTTCTACCTCTAAGCTATTTCCCTAGCCCTCTAATGGTCATAGTTTACACATCTACTAAGCATTTCTGAACTAAAACTGGTAACCAGTTTAACTGTACTGTCAAACCAACAGAAAAGAATGTATTGAACAAAAACAATTTAAAATTAAATGAATTTAAAAATTTGGTTAATGACTTACCTTTATTTTACAAGAATGTGTGGAAGATTCCAATTTTAAATACTTTTTGTACAAAATAATCTTTTCATGTTCACTAAAAACAAAAAAGAATTTCTCTTTACTTTCAACCATTGTCACTTTTAGTATTTACATTTAAAAATAAATTTTTCCAGGACAATACTTTAATCCTGAAATTCCTCTTTCCTAGTCAAGCAGGGAGTATTGGGGTCCTTACTCCATCTACTTACATATTACTATATACACTTATTAGCCACACTTAGGATTGAATGAGAAAGCATACGTAGTGATGTTGCACAAAGCCTATTTTAAAGCTCAATAGGCATCATTATTATTTCCAACATACAAGGACATAAAAGTATATATTTTAAGTTATACTAAGGAAAGACTGAGGAGGAATCTTTCAATGAGGCCAATAAGAAAATAGCAAACAGTAAGCTTTATAACAGGCTAACAAGTAGGTTTATATAGGTAAGTCTTAGATTCCTACACCATTTATAATGTTTCCTAAAAGTTGTTCAATATTTCAGACTAATGTTCAGAAGACAAACCACTATAAGTTAAAGAAGACAAGAAACACTTTTCCCTAGCTTCCTTCCAATTAAAGTCCTCCCAACGATGACCAATTCACTTCCAACATCCTTTAAAAACAAAAACAAAAACAACAACGAAAAACAAGGCTGATCTAGACTGTCTGTAAGAGGCCTAAGGGTCTACATTTTATGCTTACTGGCATGTGTTTAATTTTCTGCCCCTGATGTCTGTCACCGATGTCAGACACTCAAAAGTATTGCAAGGCTGAAGAAAATTAAAAGCTGAGAACATTTTGGTTCGGATAAGTCACAAACCTGTTATCCAGGACAGTGCAGATATTCTTGCCCCTACTGGTTCCACAGTACTCTTCTCCTAAGTATACTTCCATATTCCTTGCTGAACTTAGAATGCCAACAGAAAGGACTTCTTCACCTCCATGAGGGTCACAATTCAGGTAAAGGAAGCAGGGGTGTTCACTTTGGGGGCTGCTGCTCTTCAAACTCACCAGATCCTGGCTGAGAAGGAAAATGATTAGGAAACATTACACATTTTTTTTCTTTTCTGAGCAGTATTCATAACCCACTCTGTAAATGAGAGGTAAAACAGACAAGGCACATACACTGCACTCTTAAAAAAAAGAAAAATAGTTTTTATTATTACAAAAGCAATCTTCTAATTTGGTCATTTGTATAGTTTTTTCCTCTAACCACCACTAGCCGTAAGGTTCAAGCACCTTCCTAATCGTTACACACAGATGCTCAACAGAGAACTCAGAAAGAAGGCTCCAGATATTAATGCAGTCCTTCTGTTTTCCTGGATATGGACATTGCACTAAAACCTGCGATTTAATTGTTAACTAAATACATTTACTGGACAGTTACTGTGTGCACACGCCGTTTTCTAAGTAAAATCGACGTGGTCCTCCGTGGCTGGGCTTTATTTGCAGAGGAGAGGGTTTTGTTCATTCCGGTGAAGTAGCCCAGGCAAATTCTGACCGACACGGGGGAATCCTTAGAACCCGGCTTCCCGGCTGCGGTCGCCCGGCAGCCTACCCCACCTCCCTCCCGCTGCCGGTCCGGCTGGGCCCCGGGCCGTGCGGCCCCCGGGCCTCTCCCCACTTCGCGGCCCCGGCTCCGCTCGCGGCCCCGATCCCCCCCAGTCCCCCGCCTTCACGGGTCCCCAGACGCGTGGCTGTCACCGATCAAGGGCCGCAACCCCCGTCCCCGCGGGCCCCGCGCACCCCGGAGCAGGCGGCGCCAGCAGCTCCTCCCAGTCCAGGTCCGAGGCGCCGACACCAGCCCGGGTGAGAAGGCTCGGCGCCGGCGCCCCGCTTTCGGCATCCCAGGAGGAGGTCAGCGTCGGGCCGCCGAGCAGCGCCGCGTCCTCGGTGCCCGTCTCCATCGCGCCTCCAGCCCAGGCCAATCGCGGAACCTCTCTTCCTGGGCCTGAGTTTCGGTCCGTGCAGAGTGGACGTGAGGACGCACAACGACTTCCGGCTGCTTCCAGTTTCAACTCCAGAGCGGAGACCCGGCGGGCGGATACGCGCATGCGCCGCCGCCGGATTCAGCATCTGGGTGTAAAGTCTGCAGAGGAAGGGGCTCGGGGCGGACGGGCGCGAGGACGGCCGTTCACCCGCTTCGGAGCCGGGCGCAGGCGCGGTGCGTTGCGCGCGCGCCGGGGACGGTTTCTGGCCGTTGGCGCTGGCGGAGGCGCTGAGGAGGCGGACGACGGGTGCTGAGTACACGGGGCGGGGTGGGCGCCGGGGGGCGCCGGGGTGGCCGGGTAGGGACGGTCTCCTTGTCCCACGCGACTGCGGGACCCACTCCTGACCTGGTGACCCGGAAGTGGGCGCTGGATCCTTCCAGCTTCCGGTGTGTGGTGTGTGAGCGGCGGTCGCCCTCGGGGCGGCGAGGCTGGCGGCGGCCGTGGGCGCGGGCTGTGGTTTTACTGCCCGTCCTCCCTCCGCCCTCGGTGCCGAGGTGGAGGCGGAGCTGGCCCGCGGCCGCGGGACCCCGGCGCCATCTCGCTCCCTGCGGGACTGGCCCGGGGCTGCGGCCCGACTGAGACCGCGGTGCCTCGGGAGGGAACCTGCGCGGCCGGGGTCGGGTGGGCACCGCCGGCGACGGGGGGCCGGGACTGCGCCTGCGCCGGGACTTCTGCGCTCCGGCGCCATCCGAGAATGGGAGAAAAGCCGCCTCGGGTGTGGTTTGACATAGCTTCTAAACAGACCTGAAGACGACCTTGGAGCGTTGGATTAGGGAAACCGTGGGAGCGCGTGGAACTTGCAGCTAGCTTTCTAGATACGGCCCAGAATGGAAAGCTGAGTCGGGGCCACACAGCCCCACCTCTGCGCCTCTTCCTAGAGAGGCTTCTGTGCCTAGTGTCAACGTCTTTTAAAAAGGAAAAGGACATTTATAGAAAAGTGAAATGTCAGCTTCGCAGTTTTATAATCTCTAGATAATGACTTTTGCTCGCCTATAGTCTGGTTTTGTCTCGGAACTTTATTGTGTCCATCACCTAGTACCAATTCCTGTTGAATGCTCTATTCACTTAATGTTTTCATTCAAGTTTATCTTCCATCTAAAAAGAAGCTAACAGAATAACTTTCTCCCTTGTGTTTACCTTGTTGAAAGGGGAAAAAATGATACATATTTTCTTATATAGGTAATCAGAATGTATGATGGGGGAATTTATCAAGATTTGAAGATAGACTATCATCCTAGCTATTTAGAAGGCTAAGATTAAGAGGATCTCATTTCTAGACCAGACCAGGTGTACATTGAGACCCTCTTCTCAATATTTGGGCAAACATGTTGAGTGCATGCCTGTCATCATATACATAGGAGGCTTACGTCAGGTGGATTACAGGATTGGCCAGCCCTTAGTCTCAACGGAAGAATCTAGGCATTGTGGAGCTTGCCTCTCATCAAGCTATGAGCTATGAAAGGAATCATAAAGTAATGATACTGTGACCCATGCACAAGGGGCAGGAAGAAAAACCGTATCTAAAAAATAACCAAGAATTCCAGCCTTCAGTAAAAGGGCTGGAGCTGGGTACCAGGGGTTCCCACCAGTAATGCTAGCTACTCTGGAGGTTGAGGTCTGAGGATCATATTTCAAAGCTAGCTGAGACTCTTATCTCCACAGTAAGCTGAAAGGCTAGAAGTGGAGCTGTTATTCAAGATGTAGATAGCCTGCTTTGAGCAAAAAAAGCTCAGGTACAATGCCCAACTTCCCCTTCACCTCCTCAAAAATGGGCTGGAAACATAGCTAATGGTAGAACACCTGGCTAGCAAGCATGACCCGACTTCAAACCCGTCATTACCAAAAACAAGAAGGAAGCAACCAAAGGTCTAATATAGAACCTAGAAATATTGGTGTTGGGGCTGGGAATGTGATTTAGTGGTAGAGTGCTTGCCTAGCATGCATGAGGCCCTGGGTTCAGTTCCTCAGTACCACATTAAAAAATATTTTTAAAAAAATAAAGTGTTTGGTTGTAAAATTGTGCTAAGTTATTTCAGTTATGTATTTCCTCCTTTCTGTGGGTAACTTTCACTTAGGGCCTTGCATCTGCTAGGCAAACACTACCACTTGAGCCAATGCCTCAGACCTTTGTTCTCTTAGTTTTGGGGATAGTATCTCACTTTTCCCAAACTGGCCTCAAACTCATGATGTCCTAAGTGGTTGGGTCTGTGGGCATGTGTCACCACACTACCTTTTTTCTTGAATTTTTTTTTAATCTTCACTTGGTTGAATCCACAAATGCAAATCCATCAATAGCAATGGAGGACAACAGTATGTAATACTGTCAATATACCACATCTCAGTGGTGGTCTTTCCAACTTGATCTATAGGTTCAGTATAATCACAAGTCCCATCAAGTTTTTCTGTGACTACCAACAATATAAAGTTTATGTGGAAAAGGCTAATGACCTAGAAGAGTTAAGACAGTTTCAAAAAAAGTTGGAGGACTGACACTGGGAAATCAAGACTTAACTGTAAAGCTACAGTAATCAAGACTGGGATTGAGGAAAGAGCAGCAGATCGATGAATAAATGAGCCCCAAATTAAGCCTACATGAATGTAATCAACTGATCTTTGGCAAAGGAGCAAAGACCATAAAACAAAAAAATCAACAACTAAACACCCACATACAGAAACAAAACAGACCAGGCAAAGTGGCTGACAGTTTTAATTTCGGGTACTCTGAAGGCAGAGATTGGAAGGGTCAGACTTAAAGGCCGGCCTTGAGTTAGTAAGACCCATCTCGGGTAATAAGCTGGGGGTAGTGATACCAGCTATTTGGAAGGCTAAGGTAGAAAGACACGGTTTGAATCCACCATCGAGAAAATATGAGCTCTTACCTAGAAAGTAACGCGACAACTACTAGGTATATGGATCGAGTGGTAGAGAACCTCCCAGCAGGTGAAGCGCCCGGAGTCCAAACCTTGGTATTTAAAAAGATACCAGCAAGGGTGTGGTGTAGACCCCTGAACGCCCAGCTCTCATGAGGCCGGGGCAGGAAGATCTCGAGTCCAGCGCCATCCTGCACTGTAGACCCTTTCTCAAAACACGCGAAAGCCAAACAAAGCCAGTCAAGAGCACCGGTGTGGACCCGCAGCTTCGCTTTTCCTCCACTATGCCGCCAGAGGGCGCAGCAATACCTCAGGTATGCATATGCGCATGCGCGCGCGCCGGGCTGCGTTCCGCAGATCCTGCCGCCGCGCTATGACGGCCGCGGAGGCCCGGGGAACGGACCGCGAGGGGCCGTGCACGCCGGGGCTCTGCGTCCTCTGCGGCCTGCCGGCGGCGGGAAAATCGACTTTCGCGCGGGCGCTGGCCCGCCGGCTGCGGCTGGAGCGGGGCTGGGCGGTGGGCGTCCTCTCCTACGACGACGTCCTGCCGGAGGCGCCCCCGGACGGGGCGGGCGCGCGGCCGCCGGTCAGCACCCCGGGCGGGGCGGGGCGGGGCCGGCTGGGGGCGCGGGGCCCGCCGGGCCTGGCTGCGGGGGTTCGGGCCTGGGCTGGGCAGTGCCTGGGGATGCAGGCCAGACCGCGGAGGACGGACGGGAGGACGGAGAGCTGGCTCCCGGGAAGGCTCGGTGCACCGCCGTGGAGCGGTGCGTTTGTGGGTGCGCTGCACAGTCTGCGCGGGCGGGGGGGGGGGGTCGTTTTTTATTTGAAGGGGTCTATATTTCCCAGGTTCGACTTCAACTCCTGGTTTAGGCCGGGCGCCGGTGGCTCACGCCTGTAATCCTAGCTACTCAGGAGGCTGAGATCTGAGGATCACGGTTCAAAGCCAGCCTGGGCAGGAGAGTCCGTGAGACTCTTATCTCCAAGAAACCACTCGGAAACCGGAGGTGGCGCTGTGGCTCAAGAGGTGGAGCGCTCGCCTTGAGCTGAAGAGCGCAGGGACAGCGCCCAGGCCCAGAGTTCAAGCCCAAAAATAAAGATCGGCTGAGCCTTTCTGGCAGCTGAGATTACAGGTGTCTAGGGCAGTTAAGCTGAGTTCGGTGGAGGCAAAGCGGAAATCCCCCTCCTAGTCAGATAAATGCCAGTTAATCTCTTGGCAAATTCCTCCTCAAGCAGTAAAAAGATCGCTAAAAGATTCTGCCATAGCCAATTTATTGGTCAGTGCCTGAGTGTGGATGAATTCACGCATATGCAAATCAAGTATGGTGAGACTCTGAGTGTACATGCACCGGTGCAGTGTTTAGCGTGTGGAAAAATTCTGGATCTTTTCGTTCTTGGTTAACTGTGAGGTAGATACATCAGGGTGGCACAGGATTTACTTGAATGATATTTTTACCAGTCTGGAGAAAGCTGAAAGTTGTCACTTGCTATATTTTGTATTTCTCCCTCGCTTTTTTTTATTAACGTATGCTTTTCACTCTTTCTCTAGAGGCATGGGGATCAGTTGGCTACCATAATTAGAAAATCTCACCTTTTATGGAGGGATACCTGTTTGCTTTTTAGGATGTACAGGTGATGTTTTGTATGTAGTGTGATCTTAGTAAGGCTTGGACAGGCAGGAGAGAGATCTGTCTCCTGTCCTTGTATTTTCCTTCTACTATTCTTTGCAGCCCATAACCAATGTAAGATTGCTTGTGTTCTCAAGCCACTTATTTTCTTCCCCACAGTTGGCTTCCTTTATCCTTCCCAATCCTGCCTTGACCCAGGGAACTTTCATTGACTTACCTTGCTGTGTACTGCCTTTTGGCAATTCAGGTTCAAACCAGCACCATTTTATCTTAGCTTGGCTGTTTTAATTCAGCAAGATATTGATCTTGGCTCCCCTTTTTCTTATACAGCAGTTAGCTCTCTTTATTTCCCCAGTTGTTCATTCATGTAATAAGACATTTATGAAGCACCTGTTAGGTGCTAGGCACTTAGCTGGAGGCTAGGTATACAGTGAACTGGTGACCTGGCAGGGAGATAAGAGAGCACACAGGCCTCAAAACCTTAGTCCTGCTGGAGTGGAGACAGACTATGTATAGAGTGGGGTGTCTTGATAGTAAAGGGAGGGGCTGAATTCTCTTCTGCACGTTGAGTCAGAAAGGTTCCACATAGCACTGGGAGATTTGGATAAAAATTTTCCAGGCAGAAGGCAAAGGATATATGAAGACAAGAAACCAGGACAAACAAGGTGTCCTGGGTAGAGGGCAGGGTGCAAGTGAACTCAGATAAACCATCCTTACTAGACATAGTCTAATGTAAGATCCTATTCTTCCGTTTTTTGTAGCCATCTCAATGGAAGACACTTCGACAGGAACTGTTGAAGTATCTGGAATGCTTCTTGATGGTTGTCACTAATGGAGGTCAAATGTCTGCCCCAGCTAACATTGCTGAAGCCATGTGGGAAGATTTCATAACCTGCTTAAAGGATCAAGATTTGGTAATTCCAGTAGTATCTGAGGCCCAGTCTTGCTACGTCTTGGCAAAAACTGTCATTTCCAGACCTTTGCTTTTGGTTTTAGATGACAACTTTTATTATCAAAGTATGAGATATGAAGTCTACCAACTGGCTCGAAAATGTAATTGAAATATTTTCTTCCTTGTGCATGATTAGATTTATTCATATTTTTAAAATTACTATTGTCAGCCGGGTACCGGTGGCTCACACCTGTAATCCGAGCTACTTAGGAGGCTGAGATCTGAGGATTCCCCTTCAAAGCCGGCCTGGGCAGAAAAGTCCATGAAACTCTTATCTTCAATAAACCACCAGAAAACCAGAAGTGGCGCTGTGCCTCACGTGGTTGGGCACTAGCCTTGAGCTGAAGAGCTGAGGGACAGTGCCCAGGCCCAGAGTTCAAGCCCCATGACCAACAGAAGAAAAAAGAAATTACTGTCATGCCAGGTGTCTGGCTCATGCCTGGAATCTTAGCTACTCAGAAGGCTGAAATCTGAGGAGGGTGGTTCGAAGTAAGTTCAAGAGCAGGAAAGACTGTGATGCTTTTATCACCAATTAACTCCCCCCCAAAAAAAATTCCAGAAGAGGAGCTGTGACTCAAGTGATGGAGCACTAGCTTTGAGCAAAAAAGCTCAGGGACAGTGCCGGCTGGGAGTGAGAGTCCCAGGACTGGCACACACACATAATCACTATTGTCGTTAGAGAGAGTTTGTTGGATTTAGGAAGTCTATGGATTTAATATTAGATATTCAATATTACAAGTGGAATTTGTCCTGCTGCAAAAGGGATGATTTATCTTATCTGATATACATGTATGTATATATGTATGTATCTGTTTCACATTTGGTCATTTAAAACTGTTTTCAGATTCATTAGGCTTTTGCCAGCTCTATTTAGATTGTCCTTTGGAGACCTGTTTGCAGAGAAATTGCCAGAGACCGAAGGCAGTGCCTAACGAGACCATCCACCTGATGGGAAAAAAGATAGAAAAACCTAACCCTGGGAAAAATGCTTGGGAACACAACAGCTTCACAATTCAGAGTCCAGCATGTTCTATGGAGGCCAGGTATCCTACTCAAAGCACCCTACCAACTCAAACCATTCTTCCCTGGTGGCTTAGCTGATCCACACCCAGACCCCATAGTGTTGTGTAGAAGAGCAAACTGAATTCCAAAAGATCACTTTGTCCAGAGTCAATGAACCTGTAACCGCTGGGTTCTGAACCTACGTTTGTTTGTACAGTAACTATCAAGAATGTAACTTCTCCATGAGGTCCCAGGGAAATGATAAGTAGAATACATCTTTGATACTCTTGCCAAGGTACAACAGTCTAAATAGAATGTCTGGTAGTTTCTTTTTTTTTTTTTTGTGGGTCGTGGGGCCTGAACTCTGGACCTGGGCACTGTCCCTCAGCTCTTCAGCTCAAGACTAGTGCTCTACCACTTGAGCCACAGTGCTACTTCCCGCCTTTTCTGCTTATGTGGTGCTGAGGAATCGAACCCAGGGCCTCATGCATGCAAGGCAAGCACTTTACCATTGAGCCACCTTCCCAACCCCCCCTGGTGGTTTTCTTACAGAAAGAAATCTGTGGGCTGCAGGTATAGCTCAGTGGTAGGGCACTTGCTGAGCCTGTGTAAGGCCTTGGGTTCAAGATCTAGCCTAGCAAAAATAACGTTCCTAAGAATTGATGCTGGATCATGATTTGCTTTAGAACTGTAGTAGTAACTTTGCTAATAGACATATGTGAAATTCACAGGTTCTGGGGTCTGATGCTCCATTCACCACAGTTGTACAGCAACAAATTTCTAAAAGAAATTTCATTAATGATGGAAATGTCCATTTGCCTCATCAGTATGGTAGCAGCAAGCTACATGTGACCCTTTAGCACTTAAATGTATCTGATGTAGGACTGGGAAGGTGGCTTAATGGTAGAGTGCTTGCCTAGCATGCATGAAGCCCTGAGTTCGATCCTCAGTACCACGTACCTAAAAAAAGCCAAAAGTCGCGCTGTGGCTCAAGTGGTAGAGTGCTAGTCTTGAGGAAAAGAAGCTCAGGGACAGTGCCCAGGCCCTGAATTCAAGTCCCAGGAGTGGCAAAAATAATAATAATAATAATAATAATTGCTTGAGGTTGGGAAAGTGGCTCAGTGGTAGAGTTCTTGCCTTGCATGCATGAGGCACTGGATTTGATTCTTCAGCACCACATAGCCAAAAGTGGCACTGTGGCTCAAGTGGTAGAGCGCTAGTCTTTCGCTAAATAGCTGAGGGACAGCACCTAGAGTTCAGGCCCCATGACTCACACACACACAAATGTTTCTGATGCAAATGAATACAGGAATGTAGGTTAGAAGTTATATGGTCTTGAATAGACAGTTCTCAAAGTATGTTGTCCACATTTTCCCAGTTTTTAAAAGCTGATTTTTAAAAGGTCATTCCTCAAAATTTTTAGTTGTCAGGTCACTTTTTTTAAATATAAAATTTTATAAAATTAACATACCCCAAACAAAAATTGTGTGTAAGTGACTATAAAGTTCATCAAAATAAGTTGTTACGGTTGCCATTTGTGGTAATATCTTGACAAACTTCATATGAGCATATAATGAGTTGGTTGCTACACTTTTGTGGGATAGTTCAGGCTGTGTCCTTTGGAGTGAACGGTGGGTTAGGTTTCTGGATATCCTGCGAGAATGGCATCAGTTATCTCACTGCTGTGACCCGAGTGAGATGCAAAGCATGTTTCTGTCATGCCGTAATCTGCAGTGTGGTTCTGGGTCTTAAAAACCTGTTGCCTATGCTTATACCCAAATAGTCATGAGGTAACTGAAGGGGTGGAGGTTGAAAAGCAATCTTTTCCAGGCTTCTCTGAAGTACTAATAGCAGCAGGAGCCACCAAGCACACACACACACACACACACTCAGTAAGAGGTGTGTTTTAGAACACCTGCTATATATACCTCATCCAAACTTCACAACTCCTTAAGGGGAGAAACCACTAAGGCCCAGGGAAGGGAAGTGATAGCCCAGGTAGAAAGCCAAGGGGCCTGATGGGGTCTCACTCCAAAACCTGGGCTCTTCCCATTGACAGAGAAGACTATGTACTGAGCTCAGACTTCAAACTGTTAAGTTCTACTCCCTGTGCTCTGAATAAAATCCAACTCCTGACCATGACTTCCATGTCTTGATAACTCCTACTAGTTCTTCAGTATCACATCCTGCCATTCTCCTGCCCCCTTGCTACTAACAAACCAACTGGCTTTCTCTTTTCCATGAGCATAAGGAACTTGTTCTTGGCTTTGTGCCTGCTGTTTCCTCTGCCCTCCTTACATCCTTCAGCTGACTGCCTGGCCATCTAAGGGATGTCAGCTGGGTTCTCCAGTCACTCATGAGTGCTTGGTTTACTGTCACTCATCCTTACCATACACAAAATTGGTTTTTGCTCAGTTCATTTACCTGTCTCTCACCATTACATTATCCATTTGGAAGTGTAAGGATCATGTAATATTTCCCAGATTAGCGCAGTTTAACATAGGTAGTTGTACAGTATTTTTCATATAAAATGGTCAGTAGTTATTAAATGAATGGATTTTACCTCTGACCAGTGAAGAACATTGCTAATCCTTATCCAGAAGATAAGCAGAAACCAGACTTTCTGGAATGCTTCAGAAACACTGCATCTTTCTTTGGGTATTAAGATAGGACTTTTATGGACTACAGTCCAGAATTTAATAGGGAAGGTATTAACTTCAAAGCTTAATAATGTATAAAATGAGTATTTTGTAAAGGGGTGGGGGCTAGTGTGGCTGCATTTACAAATGAAAGGCATTTTGTTTAAGGATTTGTGTTTGGTGTAACACAAGATCCTTTAGTATTAATACAAGTTTTTCAAAAACCACGTTTGATATAAGAACTTACTGTATTTTATCCCACTTTCTCCATAGCCTTGAGGTGACTGATGTATTGCTTACTGCTTTGGAAAATCCAGTAAAACACATTGAAGACAATGTGGAACAAAAGGTCAGTCTTCCAGTACAGACGGGAGCCAATGAGAAGGAACAACTTGGATGGGCTTTTGAACGTTTAGTGAGTAAACTTAGTGAGTAGATTGAACGGTTAGTACTAGAGTAAAAATGCTTCATCACTGGCTTGGCATCTCACTAGCCTTTAGCTTCTGGTCTCCACTTGCAGCCGGTGCTGGCAGCCTGTGCTTGTGCTGGTGACCAAAACCTCCAGTTGAATGATTAGGAACACTGGCAACTGTTGATGTTACCTTGGGAGCATGCAGTATACTAAGATGGGAACATTTACACTACAGAAATAAGCCAATGCTCCACATAGGTTTGGACAAGTTTTTCTTTCCTGAAAAGCCAGTTATTAGATATTCTCCAGGATACTGCCAGGGACCACAGTTCATTACCAGATGTAACTTTTATTATCCCTTCAATGAGTCTGCTACATTCTTTTTGTTGTTGTTGGTGGTGGAGCTTGAACTCTGGCCCTGGGCGATGTCCGTCAGCTCTTCACCTCAAGGCGAGTACTCTACCACTTGAACCACAGCACCACTTCCAGTTTTCTGGTGGTTTACTGGAGATAAGACTCTCAGACTTTCCTGCAGGGGCTGACTCTGAACTGGGATCCTCAGATCTCAGCCTCCTGAGTAGCTAGGATTATAGGCGTGAGCCACCAATGCCTGGCTGAGTCCCCTATATTCTAATCATTTCTTGTATGAAACTGTTCCAATAACAAAAGTTTGTATCCCACAGGAAACAGACAGAATAATTTGTTCTGCTAACATTCTTCATAAAGTGGATCAGGCACTCCGAAGAACTGTCTCTCAGACCATGAAGGAAGCAAAAGGTATGTTGAATTGTTAGGCACTGTTTAGTTACTGTGATGACTCTCCTTCACACTCAGGTAGTTTATCAGCTCCCAAAGCTTTTGTCATGTTTCCAAATTTACAGTTCTGTTACATGTAGCTTGAATTCAAATTCTGCCCCTAGAATGAGGGTGTTCATCCATTTATCCTCCTAATTAGTTTACCAACTGGCTACTTTTTATTAGGCCTTTTCTAAATACTGGGAAATCAATAGGAAGCAGAACATTTTACCAAAAAAAAAGAAGACAAGAAAGTAATTATATGAATATGAGTGCTCTGAAGCAGTAGGGTAAGGCTTGTAGAGTGGTAATGGTAACAGGAAGGCTTCTCAGAGATGTTCAAACAGATGTGAAGGATGGACAGAACAAGCATATATCTCAAAGCCCACTCCAGACAGCAGACACATGATGAGCAAAAATACCAGAGGAAAAGGTGTTTGAAATATTCTGGAACAGAAGAGCGTCTACATGATCAGCATAGAGTTTGCACAAGGTTAATGTATTATAAATCTGAATTTTACAGATAAAATGTGTGGCAGTTAATAATTGTATAAAAAGAACTTGAATGTTAAATTTTGATTTGTGAATCAAACAATACCTAACATTTATTTACTTTTATATGCTAAGTACTTTATGGTTTATGATCTTTTCAATCTTGTAAGGTGGACATACTTTACAAATAGTGTCTTATATATACAAAATCTGTTTACAGCAGCATTATTACTAATAACCAAAAGGTCACTAGACATGTCCATCCATACACTAAAATATTATTCAGTAAAGTAAAATTTATACAGGATACAATATGGAGAAGCTTAGAAATAGCCAGGTGCCAGTGGTTCAGGAGGTTGAGACCTGAGGATCAAGGTTCAAAGCCAGCCTGGGCAGAAAAGTTCATGAGACTCTTATCTCCAGTGAACCACCAGAAAACTGGAAGTGGAGCTATAGCTCAAAGTGCTAGAGCACTAGCCTTGAGCAAAAGTGCTCAGCAACAGCACCCAGGCCGAGTTTAAGCTCCATGATCAAAAAAAAGAAAGACATGTATATACATACACATGCACACACGCACGCACACGCACGCGCACACAAACACACAAAATCACAAAACACAATATAGTATATGACTCCAGTCATGTGAAATGACCAGAGTAGGGAAATCCTGAGATAAAGTGGGTTAGAGAGGGCTGGGAAAGTGGCTCAGTGGTAGAGCACTTGCCTTGCATGCATGAGGCCCTGGGTTCGATTCCTCAGCACCACATAAGCAAAAAGAAAAAAGCTGGAAGTGGCGCTGTGGCTCAAGTGGTAGAGCACTCGCCTTGAGCTGAAGAGCTGAGGGACAGCGCCCAGGCCCAGAGTTCAGGCCCCACGACCAGACCCTCCCTCGCCCCCCCAAACAAAAAAAAGTGGGTTAGAGATTGCTTACAGGTTATAGGAAAAGATAAGATGGTGGTTAAAGGGTGACAGCCAAAGGGATTTGGGGTTATAAAAATATTCTAAAATTGACTGGGAATGGTTCCATATGAATATTCTAACTTCTACTGTATTGAAGTTTAAGTGGATAAATTTATGGCAAATATATCTCAATAAACTAACAAAATCTCAGATTCTCAGTACCACCACATTAGTTTCTGTACTGAACAGAGCAGATGGAACATTCCATCATTGTAGAAATGTTCAACTGAAAACTCTTCAAGGTATTAGAAGTTCCAAAACTAAAATGTCATTTCTTATTTCTGCTTTTATCCCTATGGAGGCTATCCTTTTGAGTTGGCTATCTTTGCTCTTATTAACCAAAAATAATCCTCATTTGTCTTTTTCTGCTCATATATTTCACAGTAAGTTATTTACATTCTCTGAATTGTTTCACACGACTTTTCTGGATCACATCAATGTGACCTTTTGTCTGTAATTATAATGAAACCATGATGATTCATACCTGGTTTATCTCATGTAAACAAATTAACTTCTTTGACAGTCCAGATTTAATAATTTGAGACTTATGTTTCTACTTTAGATGAGCAAATACTTCCTAACAACTTGAAGCTTTTAGCAGAAGATCTCAACAAGCTCAAAGCAGGATTTTTGGAAGACCTAAGACAAGGAAACAAAAAACACCTGTGCTTCCCACAAACCACTGACATATCAGATGTCATCTCTTCTTTTTGTAATGAGAAAGACAACATCATGCAAAAGTATTTTTCAAAGCAACATTAAAATTTCTGAATTTCCAGTAAAATATCTGATTTGGCTTAAGTTTTTGCAAAAAAAAAAAAAAAAAAGTTTAGAAAGTTTTATCTTACCAAATATTTTCTAAAACAATGTGAATTTCCAGGGACTTTGAAATAAAAAAAAGTCTCAAGACCCATCTGTCAGTGTGGAAATGAGCTGAGTGAGCTGTGCAGTGTGGTGAGGTGGCTCGGCCTTGGAGGCAGCCTTCCTGCCTGCTGTGCCAGCCAGACCCACGGGCATGGACGCAGGTTGAAGGGATCTGAAACAAGTAGAAACAGGTTACACACACATGGAACTGTCTTTGTTTTTAACTCCTAATAATACTTTTCATGGTAAGACATTCTAGACATCCAAACTACAGTAGCCATAAATCTTTTTCTTTTATTAGCATTTTACATACAGATGAGAAAATTACTAAAAAACTAATTTGATACTAGCTTTCAAAAAAGAAAAAAAAGGAAGGTCATACAAAGTGTTATTTTTTTATTTATATATTACAAAAGCAAAGCTTCATTCACAATATGAACTACATACCAGATATAGTTATATCAGCATTAAACTGCTTTCTGGACCCCTAAACAATATAGTGTATTTTACAACCATAATGCAAGATTTATGCATTGCATACAAAATATGTTCTTTACTTAAATCAAAGTACATATTAACGAAAAAAGTTCTAAAAAGCATACACCCTCTAAGACTAATGAAAAAGTCTTTAGCAGGGAATTTTTAATAACGATTAATTTTTTTAATAACTCATTCATTTGACAAATATTTTTACAAAACTTTAGGTGAGGTTTACTTTATACTTTAGTAGTAATTCCCTTTGTCAAACAATTCTGCAGATGAATGGTAAACATTTATTTCTAAAATGAAATAGCATTGGAAATACCCAATGGAATTTTTCAAAGTAAAAGTCTAGCCTTCACTTGAATTTCAAGAAGTTGTAGTTACATTACTACATTAGTAAAATCTGAAATAAAATTATTCCCTGTTAATCTCTTCACAGTTTCTTAAAAAAATATTAGTGGAGATAAATTATCTACCAACTTTAAAAATCTAAACTTATATGTTCACTGAACAAAAATAAATTTAGTTTCAGAACATTGCCTGTTAACGGCAAAGTACTATAAATAGTGCATGTTAAATTTTTCCTAACTCATTTCTATAAAATACTTGAAGAAAATAAAATGAGAGGAACATATTCAATCTGTAAGGGAAGATCTTAATATCTTTCCATATACAGAAATTAACTCAGGAAATTTAAATAAAGTCTAATCTTCTTAAAAGTAAAATTCTAAAAAAAGTTTCAAAGGTAGATTAGCTTCAGAAATTTTAGTGCATTTACAATTGTAACCTGTAAGCATCAACACCTTTGGGATACCAACTGTGCTCTTTAACTTAGTGGAAAATTACAATTTTTCATCCTAGTTTAATTATGAAAAAAGTCTTTTCCATATTTAAAGTGAACCTTCAAAACATTCATTTTTAATTTTAGGGGAAAATGTACTTGTCACTGTTTGACCCAGAATAGATTAATAAAGCTGGTTTTAAGGAGAGTTCTTCCATTTTTGTACTTGTGTTTGAGGCAGGGTTCTTGCTGCTTTCCAGGCTGGGTTTGAACTCCTTGGCTCTAGCCATTCTCCTGCCTCAGCCTCCTGAATAGCTTAGACTACAGGCATGCACCAACACCCTGCTTCCTCCTCTTTTTTTAATAAACATCTTCATTTTCTGTTCTGGGGTATTGCTTTTATTTGAATAAAACAGAGAAAAAAAAGCTCCCAAATGACAACCTGTTTCTTTCTGAAAATTGATAAATACCAGTCAAGTTATGCATTTGGAAAATGTTTCAGTGAAACTAACCTGGGGAGTGAGTGACTTAAGTAAGACTAAAACAACTGCAGAACTTTCAACTACAGAACTTCAGGGTCACAAGGTTTGAGAGGAGAATTACAGTTCAACAGTGCCCTTGAGACGAGCACTCAACACAAGCACTCCTTTTAATGGCTTTCAGGTATTTGAAGGAAGGGCAGAGGACTCCTGAACTTGGCACTTGGGCTTTTTTATGGCCAGATATCATCAATGTTTCTTTTTTACTTAAGAGTAGGGGTCATTGGTCATTTTTGGTTTAAAAAATGCTTATCAGGATTTTTTTTAAATAGAAGTGAATTTGTATTTTCAAGATAAGAACCAAATTAAAACAAAATTTTTGCAAAGTACAAAGAAACCAGGAGTAAGTAACAATATTTTATTGTTTGACCAAACTCTCTTCAGAGTAAGCTAGTTATTACACAATATAAAAAACAATAGCCTCCTATTCAAAATGAGTTATTCTAAATCTATTTAGCAAGTATTACTTCTATAAACAAATGCTGTGTTTAAATGTGTTTTATACCCATGTTCACACCTCTTCTCCTTCCTACTAAGGCGACAATTCACTCACAGTTTCTATATAGTACTGTCACTGTACATGAAGACTTTTACAGCTGGAATTCACAGAAACTATTTTTAAGTGGCCAACTCTGAAGAGGAGACCAGGATCTGTCTTTTGTAAATATTTCAACACATTTCCCAAGTGTTTCTATAGCCACCTTTTCTAGGCAGCTACAGGCAATAAATGGATAGAAGGCAGGAAAAGGATACTTTGGAGATTTCTCTGAAGGGCTGCATCTTAGTAGGGCAGATGACTGCCTCGCACCTCTTTGGTCATCAAAGGAATAGGAAGAGTAACAGATTCTCACTACAGTTACCAATCTCACTTGACACAAATGTCAAAATAAAACTTAAAAGGTAGACTTAGTTGAAAAGAAAGAAAATCATCCACATTCTAGTGTATTTACCTGTAGTTAAAAAAAATTGGAAGTATAAAAAAATGCAATGAAAAACTAAGACAGTTAACCAACTGGTATTTTAAATACTAAACACAATTGCCAACTTAAAAGTCTTTAGTTTCATTTCTTTTCAGAACTTTCGCCTGTATTTATAACTTTAAAAGAATGCTTTCATATAGCCCCTTGTAGGAAAAAGGATTTACTACAGTGAAAGAGCTTTATTCTTATCAGTTGAAATGAAACTGATTCAACTTTAAAATATGTGAACTAAATAATACTTCAATTAAGAGCAATTTTAAAGGCAGTTTCTCTACAAACACTGAAATACATTGTGACAGATTTTTAAGAAAAAATATCTTTTTCTGCTACTTTGAAATATGGCAGAAATAACATTTAGCTGTCATGTGTATACTGAAGTATCAAGAGTATGGAAAACCTTGACATCTTTATGGACCATAAGTAAATGTGGGAAAGGTAAATGAACACTTACATTAGGATTATGATTGTACTTCAATCCTCACATATCTTTAGATGTGAAAGGAAAAAATAGTTATAAATGTGTCCTAATTGTTCTAATAACATAAATAACCCTGACCATATTTTTTTATGAAAAAAAATAAGAAAAAGTTTTCCACCATTAAATTTACATTTTATAACGGATAAACTTTAAGTTAGCACACACCTTATTAGGGATGACCAAAAACAAAAACTCAACTACAAAGCCCCAAGAGGCCAAAGCAAGTCCATGTGACTGTTTTCAGTGTTGGTTATGTTGCCCTCTTGCAAAGTGGCAGGCAAAATCGTACTTGTTTTTACATTTGCATCCACATATATTACACTGGAAAGGATTCTCATAGCCATGACATCCCATATGAATAGTGTAAAGGATATTGTCTGCAAAGTACATGTCACAGTGCTGGCAATGGTGCAGAAGCTGAGGATCCTGGACTGGCAGCGTTGGGGCTGGAGTACTTGGCTGGCTGTTTCCTATGCTGGGAGTACTGGTGTGGGCACTGGGTTCACTGCTTGGCCCTGCCACTGGACTGTAGTTCCTCTGACTGTGTGATGGCCTTGGCTCAGGGCTTGTGGGAGAGGAGCTCTGAGGAATAGTTGCTGACACAGCAGAAACTACTGCTTGGGCAGAGGGCTGCTGAATCATGAAAGGCTTTTCATCAGGGCAGGGAACCACGTCAGGGGATGCAGGGTTTTGGTTTTCAGGTGGCAAACTGGACAACTGTCCTGCTAGGGTGGAGAGCTGATTTAATGGGTTGTCAACCATAAGTTCTTGAGGGTCTCTTGGCAGGCCACCAGTTGGTGTAGTTTTTGCCATACTTTCATAGGAGTCAGTCTGGATGTTTGGGATTTCATGGGTAAAATCATTAAGGTAGTCTGGCTTCTGAACCACCATGGAAGGTGGACTTAAGTTGATAAGTGCTCTTCTGCTATACCCCAGATTGCTTGTTTTTTTCTGTAAAACTCCCCACATTTTCTTGTTGCTCAAGGAAGACCTGGTACCTTTAATTGGTACCATTTTATGCTTGCGCCTTCGATGATGGGACAGGTTGCTTCGATCACTGCAGCGGAAGGAACACAATTCACATTTGTATGGTTTCTCTCCAGTATGGGAACGCATATGGGCTTCCAGATGACGCTCATAAGCAGATGCAAATGGGCATAAATGACATCTATGAGGCTTCTCACCTGTTTGAACAGAAAAAGTGGAAGAGAAACTGCAAGAATAGCTCATTTATGGAAAATTTCATGTCTGTCCATTCACGGGACTCAGAAATGATAAATAATTATTCAAATCCAAATAAACCTGAAAATCGAAATACAGCCTAAGGATTCATCAGCAATAATTTGCAATATACACTTAGATTCTATAATTCAATTTAGTATGAATTATGGCTTTAACAGGTATTTGGAGAAAGAAAGGAGCACTAATATTCCCTACATAATAATGATTGTCCCACCACCAGTAGGCCTTAGTTACATGTTCATCTTTGTAAATATTCATTCATAGATAATCACACATGTACACACCCTTTCCTCAAAGAAAAAAAAAATACAAGAATCTTTTCTTTTTCCTAAAAAGTCCTTATATGAAATAGAAAGCTCCAAATCTAAATGAAGCACCTGGTCAAAATGAGCTACACAACATATCTCTTCAACACTGCA